GCTTATTCATTTCTGTAATCCTAGCTTGTGCTGATTTAGAAATGCCATCCTTATTAGGCCCATTGTCGTAAAACTGACATCGACATTGTCCAATATCTAAACTATCAAGTGTCAATTAAGACACTAATTTTCTACAATGCGTTCAGAAATATATTCTCCTGTCTTTCCACCAACTTCTATGAAATCAATTAAATTTTCCTTTATGTCACACAGCATGTGTTTTTACGTATTGAATCACCTGGTTCTTTTTTTTTTTTTTTTTTTTTTTTTTTTTTTTTTTTTTTTTTTTTTTTTTTTTTTTTTTTTCTGTACGAGACACATATGGAGTGCAGTCGAGCATTATTGTGTAGTATTTGGCTTCTTTAATATCGTTTAAAATGCTACTTCAGACTGTTTTGCCTTTAAGTTAATAACTTATTTGAATTATCTTTGATAACTATGATTCCTTTTCCTTTGTTAGGTGCTTTGACTGGTACCTAAGAGTTGAATTATGTTTGGCAAGTGGAGAGATTAAATTCAGAAAAGTTCCTTGGCTAGGTCGAGGACACTTTGTGAGCAGGCTACTTGGGATTTCATGAGAGCCAAGAAAAGAATGACAGTTTGTTGAAAGATACAGTCCTGCATCCATGACTATATAGAATTTCTCTCCATTTTTCTTTCTCTGTATGAATGAGTTGCTCAGTGTCATGATCGATGCCTTGGCATGATTTCATTTGTTGTACTGGAATTCTTCACTTAATCATGCACCTTTGTGGATTCCAAATGCTTCATGCTCAGTTAATCTTGCTAAAACTTTTTTCCAATTAATGACTCCTTTAATATGGTGAAGCGGCAGCACCATGTTTCTGATAAATCTTGCAAGGTGTACAAAAAATTACATTCTTGTCTTTAGAATATGTAAACCAAGATCTTCTAAGCTTTTCATTATTTACTAATGTTCTGTATCACATGTCAAATATCGCCTGCCATCACTTTCAATGGGACTGCGGTTTACGTTTTCTGGATGTTTACTGGCTAATAATACTGATTGACTGCTTCAGAAAGATTGTTGGTGATCGTACATTTTTTTCTATGACCAGCCAACTGCATGGGCCCAAGAAATCAAAAATTTTTAGTTTTTCGTCTTTCTGCTGCCCACCCCCATCTAAATGAGGAGATCTTTATATCATGGTTTCATGTCCTCCAGCTATTCGTTTGATGTCGATGAAGAAGGTTGTTCTTTCAAATGCTGACTTGTAGATTGTTTGGGGATGATATATGGAGTCATGTTTTGGTCGTGCAAATTTGCAAGAAATATTAATACTCCTCTAGAATCTCAGCATAATTGGATTTGCGGCAGGGTCTTACGTTACTTCTTTTTACTTCTTCCGTGAGTTTTTCTTCATCTTAGCTGAAATTTGTTTTCTCTGTTTGTCCTTATCTTTGGCTCGTTTTCTATATTCCGCTTTTTCTCCCCTTTAGCCCGTAGATGGTTTTCTTTTAATCTAAATGAAATTCACTATGAATTGCTTTATTAAAAATAACTAAGAATTGACGTAATTACAATGAACAGTCCTAAATAAATGGTCGCACCTTGCTAAATGTAGTGTGGGCTATTAAAGCAAGCATATTTTAAAAAAAGAAAAAAAAAACCCGAAAAAATGAGTACAGAAGAGACCTGAAAACTAAAAAAATAACCATAAAAATAATAAATCTAGTTTTAAAATCCAAAATATGCTCCACTGTTCTGAGTCAAACTAAAGGTGAGCCAATGTTGTCGACTGGCTGCAAAGACAATCTAAATGCCCTGCTTCATCTTGAAGACATAATGATCAGTGTCCTTGTATATACCCGATGAATATTAATTTGAATTATTTCATTTGTCCAGGAATGCCCAAGGTTAATTTTCTGAGGTTATCTTTTAGAAAATAGTTATAATGCTTCTCCATTTCCCAGCAAACATTGCTATGGAAGCCAGGCGATTTCTTCAACAAGCTATCGTTTTATTTCTCATTTGAAAACACCCCGCCCGGGCAGGAAACAATAGAGGGACTTAAGACGTTACTGATAGGGTCAGTCTGATTCTAACATGACGCCTGGAGTCCTTCTATTGGCCTCCTTCTGATCTTATATTTATAGTTGCAATCGGCTGTACTTTGTTTTAATTCATGTTCCTTTAAAAGGGTTCCTAGTATTTAATTATAAATCTTCTTAAAAGAGGTTTTTAAACTTGGCCTTAAAGCTATCAACATTGTACTAAAATTAGAGAGTTGTTTTAGCAAACAACATACCAAATACGATCCAACTTTATACAGTCAAAAGTCGTTAATTCGGACACCCATAATCCAGAATGATCTATAATCCGGACCTCAAAGCTAAAAACTTTCTGCGCATGCGCCCCGTTGACACAAGGCATTTACGCGTGCTCGTAAGACTTTTACGACTGCGCATATGCGTGTGCACAAGCGCAGAATACGTTTTCGCGTGCGCGTTTAATGTATAACGGACAGTATAAGCTAAATTATCTATTATCTATTCAGTTAATGTTGATGATTACGTTGTTCCTTACTTCGAATTGGATGCGCTTATATTTTTTGCAGACTGTAGAACAATTTTATAAAAGTAAACTTGAACTTTCGATTATGTCAAATAGAATTTCCGATGCTGGAGCTCCTAAGAATCACAAAGGAATATGTTCGATGTCCGTCAACAAAAAGTGGAATTGCTGCACAAAATGGATAAAGACATGAAGAAGGTGACAGAGGTTAGTGAAAACGAAAAAATTTCGATTGACAAGTAGTCGGTATTCTCGGCACTATTACGGGACTGAACAGCGGAACTTTGTGACTGAACAAGAAATTATGTCTGTTTATAGAATTAAAGAGAAAGTATTCACATAAAACGAAGCAACTTAAACAACTTACATTGAAAGAAATATTTAATAGAGTAAACAATAATATTAAGCTTTTTTTTTTTTTTTTTTTTGTAAATTTTGATACTCTTAGATCATAATTGTTCTTTATTTCATAAATTACGGTTTCATATTTTTAATTTTAGAATTTCTGCATGCCATCTTACGAGATTTAAACTGATGGTCTATAATCCGGAAAAATCGATTATCCGGAATCGCCGAAGTCCCGACGAGTCCGGATTAACGACTTTTGACTGTATTTGAATTTGCCGCCCACAAGAGTAGCCACCCAGGTAGGAATCCCAACTTGCCCCCCGCTAGATCTGAGACTGCTAAGATTTATGCTTTGTGTTACTAAGATTGATAATAGATTTTGATTTAAGATTGATACTATTCGCACTGAATATTCACTTTCCAGTAGAACATGCAATCAAAGTTCAGGGTATTTTTTTTAATCACATCTGTTATGTTATGAGCCGAGAACTTTTTTGGTACTTTTCTGTTTTGCCGGCGCAAATGATAAAGTCACCATTAATGGGTACAACTGATGCCAAATGGAATATCTTCACTGGTAACCTTTTACACCTCATTGTCAAAACAAGTGGCAGCCATTTCTTACCAGATTGATTGTTTTTTCAATACTTTCATACAATTACATAGAATATTTACAAAGATAATTAAATTTTATGCCTTAAGACCATTTGCGGTTAATTAGGATGCAATCACACCGCTCATCCACAGACGAAAATATAGAAAAGGCAAAAATAAAAAAAATTAAATTCATCAATTCTAATGGGAATGCACTAGCGAAGTAAAGCACTATGGTTTTACATAATTTCTCAGTAAGCTATTCGTACAAATTGAAATAATTCGGTACTTTTCCGTTTCGCCGACGCAAATCTCGCCAAGCAGACACTATTGGCGACAACATACAGTATACACATAAAACATCTTTAAAAATATGTTAGTTCTAAGAATTCTTTTTAAAAAAGAAGGCATAAACATTTTAATATCGCTTAAAATTTTATAGAAAGCCAATAAATAAAGACAACAAATTTGTAAAAAGACATTAATTTAAGAATTTACTATGCTTTCATGGTTCAACATCCTGATTCGCCGGTTCATATCACGTGACCCCAAGCGATCTCATGTCACGTAAACTGCTCTACGAAAATCTAATGCTCTCGGTAATTATCTACATTAATTTCATGTTAAATCTTAATTTGGAACACAAGTCTAAATGCAAGAAATATTTCAATTTCGTATGAATAACTTACTCAAATTATGTAAAACTGCAGTGCTTTACTTCGCTAATGCATTCTCATTAGAATTGATGAATTTAACCCTTGACATTACCTTTTCTATATTTTCGGCTTCGGGTAAACGCTGTGATTGCATCCTAATTGACTTAATTGCCCGAAAATTGCCTTAGACATAAAACTGAACTATCTGATAAAAATTCTATGTAATTATATGCCAGTATGAAAGAAACAATCAATCTGATAAGAAAAGCTGCGACTGTTTTGAAAATGAGGCGTAAAAGGTTACCAGCGAGAACATTCCGTTTGGCATCGGTTGTACCATTATTGGCAACTTTATCGCTTGCGCCGGCAAAACGGAAAAGTACCAATAATTCTTGCCTTCAAACTTGTGTTCAAAATTAAGATTTAACTTCAAATTAATGTAGATAATTACTGAGATAATTTTAATTTTGTAGTGTAGTTTACGTGAGATGAGATTACTTGGGATCACGTGATATGAACCGACGAATCAGGATGTTGAACCATGATCGCATACTAAATTCTTAAATTAATGTCTTTTACAAATTTATTGGCTTTTTACAAAATTATAAACCATATTAAAATGTTTATGCCTTCAAAATAAAAAATTCTTAGAACTAACATTTGTTAAAATTTTTTATGTGCATATTGTATGTTGTCTCCAACAAAGTTTGCTTGGCGAGATTTGCGCCGTCAAAACGGAAAAGTAGCCTTTTTTGGGGTATCTATTAAATAATTTTCTTATTGAAACTGCTTTATATGTATGTATATATCTGCGTGTATGTATGTATATGAGTACACATGTGTATGTGTGCTTTCATATCTTTTAGGTGTAGGCAGTTCAGTAAGAATGTAAAACAAAAACCTACCAGAGCTGATTTCCGAATGGCACCTAATGTGTTCCGTCAAAAGGTAAAATTCTTCTGTGAGAATAATTGATTGCAGTAATTCTAAATTTAATTCTATTATTTTGTAATTGATAAAGGCATATGTGTGCTAGCTGAGGAGTTATATTTAGAATTGCATAAATTATTTTAAAAACATTTCTGGTGTGTCATGGAGGAGAGGCCTGATCTGGTTGTTCCCATATACATCCTTGGAGCAGTAACAAACTCCTGTTGTTGACCAAAACATTCAGTGACTTGCCATTAAAATTAATAGGTTTTTGACGTGATCGAAAATAAACGTTTTGCACTTACATTATAAATTACACAATGCAATTACACAAGTAGAATTGTGTGTATTTTCTTTTTTCACAATACTTCAGAGTCTTAAATATGTGAAAGAATACATTTTTAAACAACATTTTATTCTAAGAATCAAATGCTATACTTTTTCCCAAACAGTTTTAATTTGAATGAAATGTAGGCATATATGTGGCATACAAGTTTTGCAGATGGCATAGAAGTTTTCGCTAATTACATTAGAAAGAAATTTTAAGATGCTTCAATTTTCAATTCAGTTAACAGTTATGAGAACTAAAATCAAAATTTATTTTATTGTATTATTAATTTTAAAATTATACATTATTTATTTTTTATTTACAGTCTTTCTAAAATAATTTTCTCATATACGAGAAGATTTTCAGGTTCCGAGGCATATTTCAAATCAAAAATCATAGTCTATGCTCTGTTTGGTCGTTTCAGATTAGAGCTTTTTTTCTTTTAATAGAGAAATACATTAAATATTGCTGCTAATTTCTGATTTCCAAATACTTTCTGAAAGGGATAAAAAGGGGAGTTTGTTAATATTATTTTAAACTTGTAACTGAATTATTATAAAAGGTAAGGAAACAATTTTTTTTTAATATTTAGGAAAAGCTTTTTGTTATCCTTGATTTTCAACAATACTAAGTCTCAGCATCACCCATATTTTTTTTTCAGCTGTTATTTCCTTTTCATTTTCAACTGGATTTGAGCAAGGCCACTTATCTTCAGCCATTGCCAACTGATGTGGTCCCTGCCACTCATTTGGATTCTGTTAATTCCTTGGCAAAACATCCTCTAGAGGGCTGCTGGATTTAAGGCTCCTGGGAGCCATAGTGCCAGGCTTCAGTTTTTGTCAGTTTTCATATTTCTTTAACCCTGTTTTTCACGAATGTTCCCCAAGTCTCATTATTTTTAATCCAATAGAGGACTGATGTTGAATCAGTCAAATAGTAGTCTTTCAAAATCCCAATCCAAAGGGAGCCCCCCCCCACAAATAAAGCTAATCTAGCCTCAATGAAACAGGATAGTAACTCAAATCTGGAGATTGTGCATTTCTTCAGTGGAGCTACTTTGGATTTGGCTTGAATAAGCTGCACTTTTACTTTCTCCTTATTTTTGCTTTTTAAATACACTGTGGCTGCATATGAATTTTTCGAGCCATCAGTGAAAGTGTGTATGTTCGACAACAGAGCACATCTAATGTTACCTGTCTAGGAATCTTCACCAAGGACAATAAAGGTATGTTATTCACCCACTTAAAACTTTCTCTTTAATATCGGAGTTCAGCATCCGAACTCATTTTTTCCCCCAGATCTTTTGTAAGTATAATTTTGGAAGAAGAGTGAAAGGGCAGTTGACTTCTATTGGATTAAACGCCTTATGTTTAACAGATAGCAAATTCGATCTGGTCACTGAGAGTTCTTCTAATCCTATACTTTGAACATCACAGCATAGATCTTGCTGTGTATCTCACAATAGTCATATTACTTTTAAAGAATCAGATTCATTATAAATCCCTTTTGTTTCTGTTTTCTGCCATCCTCTTAAAACAGAATGTGCATTTGCAAAGATCTCCATCCTGCTGAATGAAAAGAAGAATCTACCATTTCAGAATCTATTGAAGTCACACATAAAAACATAAAAGGAAGCTCTAAGCTTCTCAGTGATACTTTTGAGAGATGGTTGATACTGTTTCAGATGTAAGTCATTCACAGCCCCCAAAAGAAAAGGACTGCAGTTTAGCCTGAATATCACACGGCAGTGGCGAAATTATTTTATCTCTGACTTTTCAGCATCTTTCCACCAGAGAAACATTAGAAAATTTCTGTCATCTTGATCCAATGAAATTTGTAAAAGTGCTTTTTTTGTATCTGAAATAATACCTAACTTTTTCTCTCTAAATTTAAGCAGTATTGCTGGAAGCAACTCTAGAAGATCTGGCCCTTTTGCTAGGCAGTTACTTAGGAAAATATTTTCTTTTTACAAAATGATCAGATGCTGGTCTAATCAGTGTTGGGAATTTTCTTTGAAAACTGGTAGCTAGCTAGTGTATTTTTTCCTCTGCTTCATTATTTGGCACTTCTTTGACCACTTCTGATTGTAATCAGTCTTGGATTACCACATTATAGTCTTCAAAATTTTCTTCTAATTTAAGTTTCTTTGTGAGCACGAAGTGTGAGTGATTAGGGACAATCTCTTTTTAGCAGTGTCTCTATAACTGGTAAATTATCCCAATCGTTGACCCTTAGAAAACTGACTTCATATCTACCATCATCATTTTTTCTCAGCATCCTATGAAAGTGATCATTACAGCCATTACTAATTCTACACCAAACTTACTTTCATTGGGATCAGTTATTCCTAAAGCATCTAATTTCTATAAATTCTCTAAATTATTGCTGTGGATTAGCATATTAGTTAGCAAAGATGAAGTACTTTGAGATGAAATGCAGTTGTTTATCTTGCCCATAACAATTTAGCCGAGTAGTGTCTGTATTGCAACAAGACTAGTTGATAAGTGCAAAACGTTCCAGCACAATCAGTTCCAACTAAAAGTTCTATAGGTAGTAAGTCTCTTCCTACATTAGCCTTTATCCCATAATTTAACCGTCCAGGGCCCTTCTTAAACACTAGGAATGTACCCGCAAATAACTTGTGGTTCAGAACTTTGATTTCACAAGAGTAATTCTTCTTTAAATTACTCACCCACCGATACATTGTAGCATTTATGTTGCTTTCTAAAGCTAATACCTCCAAGCACAACACGTGTTAAATTTTCAGTTTGTTGAGTAGTTGCCTCCATTTGGTTCATGATAGATTTAAGAATATACGACTTATGTGATCCTATGTCAAATAAAGTTCTTACAGTTCATCTCTTCCCATTTGCTTCAATGGACACAAGCTGTGTTTGTAGACAAATTTCTGTTTGGCTTTGATTAGACAATGTTACTTGAAAAGTCTCTGAATTAATTTTCTTATCAACATTAGACAATTCAGGACATACTATAGCCCAATGTTTCCTTGCACAAATTGTGCATTGGACATTAGCCTTGTAATTTTTTGAGCTATGCCAGATTCTAAAATATGCAAATCAAGCTTTATTTTTCTTTAAAATATCCTTTTTTTTTTTTCCTCAAAAAACACTTTTAGCCCTTTAAAACAATCTTGAGAATAATGTGTTTTGCCACAAAATACACCAGCAAGTTTTATAGCTTTTGTACCCAAAACTAGATCATTAGACATCAGGGCAGCAATTTCGCCTTTTGTGTATTTTTGATTTAAAATTTCATTTGATCATTTAAAATCAGCTTTGCATAAAGAAATTCATTCTTCATCTTGAATTTCCATGCAAAGAAACAACAATAACCGGGATAATTTATTGCCATAAGAGTATTTTTCTTCTAATGCATGATTCCACTAGTGGGAATAATATGGCACCATGCTTTTCAGTAGTTACGCCAATCAACTGTAAAGACCTCAAATGTGACTCCAGTCTATCATACAGCTGCATGATGTTCATTTTTGTTTTCACATCATAGCATCTTTTACAACCAATGATGTTTACAGACATAATACTCAAACAAATACCTCTTCACAGCCAAACCTTGTTTTTTACCTATCAATGATTTTTGCATAGTTATCAGCAGTTGGCGCATAACTATATTTCTCAGGCCCTTCTGCCAACTGTCAGGCATTAAATGAGGTTTTAAAACTTTATCTTCATAACATATTGAATTTACTCATCATTCTGAATTCTATTGGACTAACTCCAAAATGTAAGCCAGTCTTTCACTTCCCCACTAAATTAAACCAATTCTATTTTTGGGAGCTTTAATTCTTTTTTTTTTTTTTTTTTTTTTTTTTTTGTATTTCTCACCAACAGTTTACAAAACTTTTAAAGTTTATCAAGACCTGCTTTAGTACGAATACATGCTACATCTAATTTTTCTCGATACTCTTAAATTTTCTCATATTCAGCATCAAAATCTTCAGATTTGTGTCATAAAAACAAAAATTATCCAATTCAGCCAAATCTGTGGCAGTTTGATCTAAAAAAGAAAATTTCAATTTCCTCTGGTTTTAAATCTGTTTCATTTAAAGACTCTATTAATGAATGGTATATTTTGTGAGCATAGCTGTAACATTCTTCTTTTAATAATTTTTTTTATATTAATAAAATCTTAAATCAATGAAGTCAATATTAACTAATTCACTGACGTTTATCTTTTTACACATTGACGGCGGCGTGGATGTTCATTGTTCTTTTCGTGCGGTGGTGCTTGAATTAGTGATTCATTTTGTGGAGAGGCGCAGCGCCAAATTATACTGTCTGATTCTTGCGCGGTAATACCCACTAGCTGATTCAGATAGATCACAGTGATCTAGAAACCAATCTACAATTGGTTTTAGTTCATCATCCTCAGTTTTGGGGAAAGTCGATTTTTAAGAAAATCACAATTTTTCAACTTTGGCAGTACAGTCAAAAGTCGTTAATCCGGAATGATCTATAATCCGGACCTCAAAGCTACAAACTTTCTGCGCATGCACTTTTAATGTATAACGGACGGTATAAGCTAAGCTAAAATTATCTATTTCAGTTAATGTTGCAGATTGCGGTGTTCTTTAATCTTCGAATTGGATCCGGCTTATTGTTTTTTGCAGACTTATAGAGCAATTTTACAAAAGTAAGCTTGAACTTTTGAT